ATCACCGCCAACTCCAAAGCCATCTACATCTACACCTCCGGTACCACCGGTGAGGCCGTGGGGAGAGAAAGCCCAAGGGTAGGAGGGTCTTCTCCTCGGAGAAGGGTTTGGGTGAGGTGGGTTGAGGAGGCAAAGGAGGTTGTTTCCCCGTGGGTTGTGTGGGCGAGGCGCTGACGGTGATGTTGGAGGCCCTTCTCCAACCCCGACCATCGTGGGTTCCTCCTGGCTGCGTCCACGCGAGGGTTGGGTGTCTCCAACAACGGAGACTCGCCACGGGTCTGTCCTTGTTGGGATGGGGTGGGACCTCCCTCATCCAACCCTGCACCCAAATGGGATTCCACCTTGACCAACGGGCGCATCAGGATGAGGTTCCTCATGGTTCCTCCTGACGAGGTCTGGAGACCCACCACCTTGAGGGACAGGTTTTGCCCTCCCATCCCACCTGGGCACCTCCAAGGAGAATGTTTCCCACCCTCTGCTCCCACCCCCAGGGCTGCCCAAGGCAGCGGTGATCACAGAGATGAAGCTGATGATGGTGGCCAACATAGGCCGGCTCCGTGGCTTGCTGCGCGATGAAGCTGATGATGGTGGCCAACCTAGGCCGGCTCTGTGGCTTGCGGCCTGACGACATCATCTACACAACGCTACCGCTCTACCACTCAGCCGGGCTGCTCATCGGGTTGGGAGGGTGCTTCGAGGTCGGTACGTAAACCACCCCCTCCATGTCCCACGTGGTCCGGCCAGCACAGGGGGTGCAGGCAAGGACAAGGCACGGAGAGGTGATGGAGAATGGACGGATGGATGGACAGATGGATGGATGGATGGATGGGGCAAGTGAGGAAGAAGCTGTGTCCATAGATGGATGAGGGATGGATGGACAGATGTTTGATGGAGATGGAAGGATGGACAGATGTTTGATGGAGATGGATTTTTTATGGAGATGGATGTTTTATGGAGATGGAGGGATGGGATAGGGGTTTTTTTTATATCGGGATGGACAGACTTTTTCTGAAGATGGGCTGAAGGACAATGGAAAAATGTGAGGCTGGAGGGAAGAAAAGGAAAGAAGAGAGAGGAGAAAGGTCTCCATAGCGATAAATGGATTAGTGGGGGGATGGACGGCTGGATGGACAGATGACAAGAAGTGTAGGGATGGAAAAGGAAAGAGTTGGGTGAAAAGAAGGTGGAAAAGGAGAAGGATGTCTGTGTAGATAATGGAAGACTGGGAGGGGTGAATGGACAGGACATAGTCATGGAGATGGATGGATGGATGGATGGAGAAAAGGGAGAGATAACCATCCCTGCCGTGTCCCCACAGGAGCTACCTGTGTCCTACGGGCCAAGTTCTCCGCCTCCCAGTTCTGGGATGACTGTCGCCGCTACAACGTCTCTGTCATCCAGTACGTGGGTGAGCTGATGCGCTACCTCTGCAACATGCCCAAGGTGAGGTCCCACCAACCCAAAATCCACCCTGGGGGAGAAGGCGATGGCGTGGGGATGTACCCTGAGACGGTCCCTCCCTTTGTCACCCCACAGCGTGACAATGACCGGGAGCACAGAGTGCGCTTGGCCTTGGGCAACGGGCTGCGGGCAGAGGTGTGGAAGGAGTTCCTCCAGCGCTTCGGGCCCATCTCCATCTGGGAGTTTTACGGGGCCACCGAGGGCAACGCCGGCTTCATCAACTACACCGGCAAGATCGGCGCCGTGGGCAGAGCCAACATGTTCCTCAAGGTGAGGCGCCGGTGATGACAACGGTGGGGAGGAAGCAAACGCTGACTGCCTTGGGGAGAGCAATACTGCATCTCAGGTTGGGGTTACGCCAAGAACGGGGTCTCTAGGACACCTTCCTCGTGGTGGTGCAAACGGTGACCTCTCTGGGGAAGCCAAGGCTGCCCATCGCGTTGGGTTGGTACAGAAGCAGGATCTCCAGGATCCCCTCTTCGCATCCAAACGGAGCCCCCTCCACCTGCTTGGCCAACGTTGACTCAACAGCGTTGACTCAACAGTCTAGTTTTGGAGTGTCTACGGTGACCCAGACATCTCTACAGTCCCAAGAAAGGCCACTTCGGTGTCACTTCTCAGTCCCCAACCACCCAAGCATTGAGCAAAAACTCCAAAAATAAGTTTTTTCCACCCTTTTCCCACAGTTGCAGCTCCCGGCATTCTCCCCCAGGTCTTTGATTTGAAAATTTTGATGAGTTCGGTCAACAGTTGAATCTATGGGATTAAAATTATTTAAATATCAAGCGCGATTAGCTTGGATGGAAAAACAAGTGACCACCCAGGATGTTGGGTGTGTTTCTGTGGGTTTTAACGAGCAAATAACGGGAGGATCAGACCTGGCACTGGAAGGAAAGTCTTCTCGTTCTTTTTAATCCAACATTTCTCTTCCACCCATGGGTTTTTCTCTTTGTCCCTCTTCTGCCCTCCAGAGTTTCGCTCCCTTTGAGCTGATCAAGTACAACGTGGAGGACGACGAACCTGTACGTGATGAGCGAGGTCTCTGCATCCGAGTCCGCCCCGGTAAGAAGAGATGAGCTTTACGAAGGCTTTTTTGGGAGGAAAGTTGGGCAGAGAGAGGGTTGATATGCAAAGCCACCTCTTGGTCCTTCTCACCATCATCTTGGTGGCTGGAAGCCACCAGAAACCCCTCAAGGAAACAAGAATGTCATACCCGAGTGGGGCATGGAGGTGACATTCCCCAGCACTGAGGCAGTTGCTGACCGGCCTCCAACCTTCCTTTCCCTCCCCCGAAGGCGAGACGGGGCTGCTGGTCATCAAAATCACCAAGAACACCCCTTTCCATGGCTACGCGGGCGATTCCCAGAAGACAGAGAAGAAGGTCTTGAGGGATGTCCTGGTGAAAGGCGACGCCTTCTTCAACAGCGGTGACCTTCTCATGATTGACCACGAAAGATTCGTCTATTTCCAGGACCGAGTGGGAGACACTTTCCGGTAACCCTGATGTTCTCACACCCATGTCTGCATGGGCAATGCCACCTGCCAGCCCAAATCCTCCCATCTTCATCCCTTCTCTTCCCTAGTTGGAAAGGCGAGAACGTGGCCACGACAGAGGTGGAGGCCACTCTTGCCATGGTGAACTTCATCCAGGAGGTCAACGTCTATGGAGTGTCTGTGCCTGGTGAGTACTGGGAGGTGCGGGGAGGGGTTGAGTCGGACCAAAAATAAAACCTCTGCTGATGTTTCAGCCATGGGATGTGTCCCCAAATGGTCTGAGCAGCCACCGAGAAGCCTAAAGTAGAATAGAATGGAAGGGACCTACAGTGATCATCTAGTCCAACTTTGACCACTTTGACTGAAAATAAGAGTCTGGTATTGTTTTGGGCTCATGATTACTGCCACAATGGTCCAAACGGCCACCAAGAAGAGTAAAACGGGGCTGGGTTGCCCAAAAGAAGCATCTAGGGGTGTTTGGGGCAAGCAACGTGTCCACATAATGGTCCAACTGACCACCGAGAAGGCTAAAATAGGACTTACTGACCCAAAATAAGTTTCTGGCATGGCTTTGGCACACAATGGGCTCATGTAAAGGTCTGAGTGGCCACCAGGAAGGTTTAAGGGGGACTTGGTTGCCCAAACCAAGTGTCTGGCATTGTTCTGGGCATGCAACGTACCCCTGCAATGGTCCAAGTAGCCACCAAGAAAAACAAAATGCGACTTGGGTGCCCAAAAGCAGCATCTGGTGGTGTTATGGGCAACTGACGCGTCTCCATGATGGTCCAAGTAGCCACCAGGAAGAGTGAAAGGGGACTTGGTAGCCCAAAGTAAGTGTCAGTTGCTGTTCTGGGCACACAGTGTGCCACCGTAATGGTCCGAGTGGCCACAAAGGAGGCGAAAATGGGAAATGTTCACCCAAAACAAGCATCCGGGGTTGTTTTGGGTGCATGATGTGCCTCCACCATGGTCCCAGTGGCCTCCAAGAAGGCCGAAGTGGGACACATCCACCCAAAATAAGTGTCCGACATTGCTTTGGGCATGCAACAGGTCCCCAAAACGCTCCAAGTGACCACCAAGAAGAATAAAATCAGACTCAGTTGCCCAAAATAATCCTCCGGTGGTGTTTGCAGGGTGCGAGGGGAGGTGCGGCATGGCGGCCATCCGCCTGAAACCCGGGGCGAGCTTTGAGGGCAAGGACCTCTACGCCTTCACCGGGGACACGCTGCCCAGCTACGCCGCTCCCCGCTTTGTGCGGATCCAGGTCAGCATCATCCCAGGCGTCCGGGTGGCTTCTGGGGACGCTTTGGGGGTTTTTGGGTCCTCTGCCAAAATAGTCCTTCAGACAAAGGGTGAAGTTGTTGTCAATGACGGCGTTGACGTCCCTCCAGTTTCCGATGACGGTGCCAGTCACCCCAGCATCGGTGACATCATCGGGGTCACCCTGTGCCGATGATGGCGTCGGTTCCACCTTCACGATGACGGCACCGAGGTCCCTCCTTCCTCATGACAGCGGTGGCCACCCAGCGGTGGTCACCTTGTGCCAATGACATCATACGGGTCCCCTCAGTTCTGATGACGGAGGGGAGGTCACCCTTTCCAACGATGGTGCCAGTCACCCCGCGCTGGTAACGCCATCCATCACCCCCTGTTTCTGATGACATCATCCACCTCCACAGGACTCTCTGGAGATCACGGGGACCTTCAAGCAGTGCAAAGGCAACCTGGTCAAAGAAGGCTTCGATCTCAACGTCGTCAAGGACCCCCTCTTCTTCCGCGACGACAAGAAGAAATCTTACGTGCCCCTGAACCCCGACACCTACGCCGCCATTCTGGACATGAAACTCAACCTGTAGAAGTTGTTGCCACACCGGGGTCTCCATCATGGCCTGGGGCTGTAATTGTGTCGGGGCGACTGGCAAGGCCAAATTTGGGGTTAATCAAGCAGTTTTTGCTTCCTTCCGGGAGTTTTTTTTAAACGGTATCGGAGCATGATGAGGGTGACGGGCTGGTCTCGGCGCTCGCTATCTCGCCCCGGTGCCTCCGTGCCGTGCCGGTTGCGGAAATTAAAAGCTTAATTCCAATTATTTGGGTCTAGCAGGGTGTCGGGGTCGATGAGGGCCATTTTCTGGGGACTGATCCACTCGTTTTCCCTTCCGGAGGGGACAGCTGGTGCCCAAAATCCTCCCCGCTGCCCGGAAGGGACCCTTTGCTCAGCGCTGGCCTCTCGCTTGCCTGCGGGGCCGGCCCTGGAGATGTATCGGCGCCCCAAAACCCTCCTTCTCTTCCCACCCAGAGTTTGTTGAGCCGCTTTAGCTCACCCATCCGGAACGAAACCGATTTATTTCTCCCTGAACCAATTTTTCTGCCCAATCGGTGATGTAAACCGGCTTGAGAAGGCAGCCCGGGCTCCCCCGTACATCCCAGATCCACACGACAAGCGCCAATCCCCCCGTGACAGCATCAGCTTCTTCCTGCCATTCCCCAGCACCCGCGAAGCCCGTTTAACCGACACAAAAAGAGCTTATTTCTCCCCGCAGCTGATTTCTGCAGGATCAGTGAGCAAAACCAGCTTGCGGACGCTTTCCCAGCTCCCCCTCTCCCGGATGCGAGCCGTCCCCTTTGATTTTTTTCATAGAAAAGGTGAAATCTTTATTTACAAACCTTCCCAGCGGCACCGGGGCAGGGAAGAGGAGGAGAAGAGCCGGGTATCCGCCGGGAAACCTTCACTCGCCGTCATCGCCGAGTAGTTGCAGCTCCACCGTC